ACTGTCACAGTCCAACTACGATTGTTCAACTAACTCTCTGCTCTCTTTCGCGACTATTTCACTCACACCCTCACTTTGACATGCACTTAATCATTCCTACGTCATGCACTAATAATAAATTAAAATAATAATCTTATCTGTCAGTTCCCGACAGTATTCGTCCCATCCTCGAATATGCATGTCCAGTCTTCCACCGCAGCCTACCAGCATACCTGATTGACGACCTGGAGAGGCTACAGAAACGGGCATTAACAATTATCTATCCACATATACATTACAGTATAGGCTCGATCCAGCCGGTGGGAGAGTACCCACCGACTGGATCGAGCCTAATTACAGTAGAGCTCTCGAAGTGTCAAGAATTTCAACGCTTTTTGAAAGAAGAGAAACAATTGCAAAGATATCACATAGTAAACAATTTTACTCAAAAGATCGACTTCGACAATCAGATTGCTTCTTCTTCATTCCTTCATTCTCCTATAAACATGTACGTATACTCAGTGACGTCACGCGCATGTTCAGTCGCTAGAAAAAACAATACAAACTTTGATAAGATTTTCAGATGGAAAGTTGCGGAGAAACTGTTTAATATGCTGGGAATAAAAAGTAATACACAGACTAATTTGATAATGTTCTTCAGCATCTGGGCTGCTGGATTTGCCATGAAAGACATTAGTGTTCGAGTGGGTGTAGTCGCTTGTTTGGAGGGACAAAAAAAAACAATATGCCGAACAAGTCATCTAGGAAGTTTTCCTACATTCCTAAAGTTATTTAATTGTGTAGTCTGAAACGCAACCATTATAATAAGGCATCTTTTAGTTTAGCTCGTTCACTATAACTTGTTGTATCTCCATACATCAACTAGACCCATGCAGTCTCTGCTCGATTGGGAAATGGCTAATTGTATTTTTTGGCCTTTCGCCGAATATATATCCAACCAGTTTTTATCAGAAGCATTGCAAGTACTTTCTATGGCCTGTTTTTCGGTCGCGTCGAATTTAATTCCGAACAATTATTATGACGCGATACTGCATGAAACAGTTATATTGGATGAGGTCTATCAGTCGATCCGAAGGCGAGATTCGGAGGTTGGTGATAACACTTACCGAGACCTTGGTTGATTCGGGATATGAGAAAAACCGAATTCAATAACCGTTTCATTATACATTGCGTTCTCGTTATCTCTTTCGACAAATCATGATTTAGTTGCGCGAAACAACGTTTGGTTCTAAAAAAAGCAGTGAAAACGACGATTTAAAATCTCACAACAACAGCATGAATGTTAGAAAAATATCTCATTTACCTGCTAAGTTTCGACAAAAATGCTTTTACCTTTAATTTAATTCCGAGCTACAAATAAGCTCTGTTTTATGTTACTTGTATTCGTACGTTCCATCCTCGAATATGCATGTCCAGTCTTCCACCGCAGCCTACCAGCATACCTGATTGACGACCTGGAGAGGCTACACAATTATCTATCCACATATACATTACAGTATAGGCTCGATCCAGCCTGTGGGAGAGTACCCACCGACTGGATCGAGCCTAATTACAGTAGAGCTCTCGAAGTGTCAAGAATTTCAACGCTTTTTGAAAAAAGAGAAACAATTGCATCTAAACTTTTTAGTGATGAGATCACGGCCAACGACCCACAACATCGCCTTCATAATTACTTACTTCCTGTTAGAAACATGAATAATTTCTCTTTGAGGAGCACAAGGAAATTCGTACGCCCTTTATGTAAGACCGAGCGTTGTAAAAATAGTAGTTTTATTCAAAGCTATAGTTACAGCTTGTAGACACTTTAAACTATTATACAGATTATTAGATCATTCGACTATATATTATATATTTATCTAATTATCTTTTAGTAATAGACATTTGTTAGTTTTATAGAATTAGTGAGGCGGATATGTGTAAAATTATTGATCAGTACTTCCCGTTGAGGTTAAAAGCATCAAACTTTTACAATTGATGTAGTTTTATTTGCTTAATAGATATTTGAAGTGGGGCCATCGCTATTTTGCTGCTGGCTCCTGAAAACGGGTGAGTAGTGATTTTCTTCTATTGAATTCTATTATAGCCAAAAAATGTGAAATTTTGTATTCAATTACAACAAATATGACTTGCATCATCAGAAAGCTTATAAAAAACGGCATATAAGACGTTTAGACAGTTTTTTTTATTTCTGAAATAGTAATTATAAACTGTTAAAAACGCATTTTCAAACATCGAATAATTACTAATTAGGGACTTTTAGCGAGATAATGTGCCTAATTTACAGCAATAACCGTTTGAAGAATAAAAAAACTGTTTAAAAGTCTTTTATGTAATTTTTTACAAGCTTTCTGATGATGTAAGTTATATTTGTTGCGATTGAATTCAAAATCTCACATTTTTTGTTGTAGTAGAATAGTAATAGCAAATAATGCTAATAGCATCGTAACTCTCTAAAAAAACAGTTTCACGATGGCCCCACTTTTGCATGTTGTTCTACTCATAAAAAGATGCTACTGTGCACAATTTGGTGCTTTTAACCCTCTTCGGAAACATCCATGCACATATCCGCCACACTAAATAGTTTTAGCTTAATATAACATTACTTGTAAGACTAAATGTATTTCGGCTTTTATAATAATATATGGCTGCAAACCTAGTCATTGAAACATCTATCTATCTATCTATCTATCTATCTATCTATCTATCTATCTATCTATCTATCTATCTATCTATCTATC